GCTTTGGAGGAGCTCTTAAGTGTGGGCTGATTCGAGCTGGGAGATCAGAGTCTAGCTCCTAATTAGATTGCAAGCTTTCCTTCTATTTTATTTCCTTCTATCTCACACTCTGAAAGAATGCATCCATGCTCTTAACTTTTTTTTTTTTTTCCCCTGTATTTTTTTTGTTTGGTTTTCTTTTTGTGATGTTGTTGGAGTCTTTGTTTCACACAATTATCTATGCTTAAATTTTGTTTATGGGTTTCCTTGTTATTTTCATTTCTGTTTGTTAATGCTTACCAAATCTTTATAAGTTCCCTCTTTTTTTTATTTTGATATGCAAGTGTATAATTTTCTTTGAGGCTACCCTGTAATTTATTAATTTTTTCCCTGCTTAAAACACTCTGTTTTATCTTTAAATCTAGTTAGAATCCTTGCCATTTGGAAGTTTGGTATCTACATTATTCCCTCTTTTTGCTTTGTAGTTGACTTCTTTATACATTGATATCTCTGGTTCCCTATTTTCAATCTTGAAGGTTTGTTTTACTTTAAATACTTTGACATCTGGATTGTGTTTTGAGTACTATTGTCATATACAGTAATCTCAGGTTGTTGTTTGCTGTTGTTGGTTCTCAGTCCAAAGAATACCCTTTAGCATTTTTTTTTGTAGTTGGTTTGGTCATTACAAATTCCTTTAATTTCTGTTTATCAGGAAATATTCTAATTTCTCCATAGTATATGAGGGACAGTTTTGCTGGGTATATGATTCTTGATTAACAATCATTTTCTTTCAAAATTTCTTTCAGAATTTCAGAGTTCTGTATATGCCATTCCATTGCCTTATTGTCTACATGATTTCTGCTGAGAAATCAGATCTTAGTCTTAATGGTTCTCCTTTGTAGGTAACTTTTCATCTTTCCCAAGTTGCTTTAAAGATTCTTTCCTTGTCTTTGATTTTGAAAAGTTTTATTATATGTCTTGGTGATTTTCTTTTGGGATCTATCTTGTTTGGGCTTCGTTCCACTCCTTGTATGCTTATCTTCCCTTCTTTCATCATGTTAGGGAAGTTTTCTCCCAAGAACTCTTCAACAATTTTGTCTGTGCTGTCTCTTCCTATTCTAGAATTCCTATCACCCATAAGTTGTTCTTCATGGTGTCCCATATAACTCTTAGGCTTTCTTTGGAATTCTTCATTCTTTTTTCTGATTGTCCTTCTTAGCATACTAGTATTCAGAAAGTTGTCCTCAAGCTCACTAATTCAGGTCTCCATTCCTTCGCATTTACTCCTTTGCTCTGACGTCTTAGTATTTATCTTCTGGATTTCTAACTATAGCTTTTGTGCTGTTTCAAAATTGGCATTTATTTTGTCAGTTCTTGTAACGCTTCCCTGAATTCCTGTAAAGCTTTTATTGTGTTCTCCTTGCCTCAATCCTTCTATCTATCCTTTGAAGGCACCTAATTATCATTCTTTTGAATTCTTTTCCAGTTAGTTCCATAACGTTTTATTCCTCAGAAACATTTTCTGTCTCAGCATCTTGGTCATTTGTTTGCATCATTCTCCCTTGTTTCTTTGCATGAGCTAAAATTGTCTATTGTCTCTGGAGCATTTTGGGGTTGCTGTATTTGTAAAAGCAAACAGTGCAGCTGTTAGGCCAGAGGGAAGAAATCTCTGGTGGCTCATGCAATTCAAGGAACTCACAAGGTCGTTGTGGAAAGGATGTGACAGCAGATTTCTTAGATGGCATTCCTACTGGCCTCAGTGTTATCTAAGTTCAGGGCACTCAATCTGGAAATAGTTCATGGGGGCCCTTGATGGAGCTGTATTTAATATTTATTAGGATCACAGGAAAGTTGAGGGCAGTGTGACTGGTTAAATGCTAGTCTGGTGACTCTGTGAGATTTGTATAACTGGAGCCAAGCCCACGTGAATCCAGCACCAAGGCAGCACAGAAAATCAGCACAGCCGGCCCCTACCTCACACTGATGTGGTTTCCAACCACATGGGGAACTCCTAGAGAGCAGGATCTGTGCAGCGGATGGATGAGGATGGGAGCTAGCCACACTTCTGGTACCTTGGGAGCATGGGAAGAAAGAAGAAATTGCACCTTTTCTGTCATCCACACACTGCTCTGCCAAGCCTACCTCCACTGCCAAAGCTGATCAATCACAAGATGGTGGAGCCAGTCTCCTTCTCTCACCGTCCCTGCTCAACCTCTCCTCCCAGCAAGCACTCCATCCACCTCTCTAACCTTTCTTCTAAAGTTCAGGGTGCCAGAAATTTCATCTGTGTTTGTTTTATTTGGTCTCTTGCATTATAGTTGTAGAGGGTCAGTGTAGTGCGTCTGCCTAGTCTGCCATTTTGCCAGAAGTCTGCTGTTAACTGTTTTTAAGCAGAAAAATCCTTTCTTCAAACAAAATCTTACCCAAAAGCCCCAATAAGTCAGGAAAAAGAAACAACTTTTCTTTCAGTTGGAGTAGAGGTGGAAGTCCTGGGGTCTTCTCACAACACCCTTTGTGAAGCCTACAAGGTTCTGAGCTTAAGAGTTCCACATAACAGGTTCAAAACCACTGAAATCAGTCCCTCCATTTACACATGGGAAAGTAAGATCCAACGAAATTATTTTATATCCCCCAGAACACTTAACACAGTACCCACAAACTATGGGCAGGGCAGCAATGTGAGCCACTGATGGGAAATATCGGGGTATAGTAAAAAGAGCAAGGACTTTGTTGTCAGAAGTGTCTATGTTCAAGTACAGAGAAACCTGAGAAAGCCAAAATCTGAGTAAAACAAAAAACTGTCAGAAAAGGATAATTCAAATATTTTTCACTAGTAGAGAAAGATAGAAAATAGTTAACAGCATACCCTGTCAAAGGTGGAAAACTTTCAAGACCTGGAAAACAAAATAGTGCTATTGAGTCCCAGTTCTCCTTGTACAGATTTCACTGCAATAAATATGCCATTTGACAATGTACAGCCTTAAACAAGTCATTTTACCTCTCTCTAGGCTCAGTTACCTCATCTGCAGTATGAAAAGGGCAATATTTCTTTCATAGAGTTTTCATGAAAATAATATGTCTTAAAGGAATAACAAACTATCATTTTTCTTGAAAGAGAATCATTTATTGGTGATGGAAACTTGGGCAATGGATATGGGTGATAGTCGCATGGCATGATTAATGTAATCAAGGCCACTGAAAGACACATGCAAAAAAACATTAAATTGAAAGTAAATAAAAAAGTATTGCTACAAAACCATAGAAATCTTTATTAAATAAAAATATCAAAATGTGAAGCTATTGTTTCTCAATGTATCCTCTATCTAGGTCTATACACTTCTGAAGGCAGTGTTTCCATCTCTCCAACATTTCTAATAAGAATTCGACTGCTAACTGCAAGGTCTGCAGTTTCAAACCCACCAGCTGCCACTCAGAAAGCCTAGATAGAGTTTCTATGAGTTGGAACCCACTGGATGGTGCTTAATAACAACAGAAACCCTCCCTCTGAAGAATTCTGCATGCTTAGATTTATACCACGTCAAAACAGCAGTTTTGGCATCCTCAAGGGACTTAAATCATGCTCCTTTTCCTTGTTCTTTGAGTTTGGGGAACAAAAAGAAGTCTGAAGGGGCAAGATTGGAACTCTGGGAAGGATGGAGTAAGGTTTCCCAATAAAATGTTCATAGAACAGTGCTTGTTACCCTCAAGAATAAGCAGATGCATTGTCATGATGGAAAAAAATTTTTCAGTGCAACTTTCCTGAACTTTTCCTAATCAATCCAGTTTTTTCTTCTTTTAAAACTTCTTCATAGTAAGTTCCCATGATCATCCTGTGTCCTTGGAGAAATCTATCAAGATGACCTCTTTGAAATTCCAGAACAGTCACCATAACCTTCTGAGCTCTCTGCCTTGAACTGAACTGGCTTAGAAGATCACCTCAGAGGCCACTGCTCCACTTGGTTCTTTAAAAAAAAACAAAACCCTGAGAACACTAAAGGAGCCCTGCTGGTATCATGGGTTAATCACGGGGCTGCTAACCACAAGGTTGTCAGTTCAAACCCACCAGAAATTCTCCGGGAGAAAGATGAGGCTATCTGCTCCCATAAAGATTTAAAGTTTCCAGAAACCCTAAGGAGCAGTTCTACTCTGTCCTATCAGCTCATTATGAGTTGGAATCAATTCAGTGGCAGTGATTTGGGCTGGCTGAAATGAACACTAAAACAAGTGTGCTACTGAGAGACCTTGTTTGCAGCTATTCGTGGATCGAAAATATATGTTTAAACATATTTTGTTTGGAAAAAACCCATGCATGTATGAACTAGAACCCTAGTAGGCAGACAGATAGATCGATAGATAGATGATAAATTTACCATGATAAATAAATACTTACAGAGAGATGCACAAAGGAAGGTAGAATTACAAACAAAAAAAATAACCTTGTGAACTCCAATGAAGCAAAATGACCATCACTTTAGAATCCTTCCCTCTTAAAGTCTGTATAATCAAATGAGACTAAAGATAGCCTTGGACTTTGGTTTACAAAAAAGAGAGAGAATAATTTATTTAGGACTTACTCTGTAGTAGGGAGCACTGAGGAGTCCAGGTGTGGCGGCTGTACAATAAGCACTGGACTGCTAACCACAAAGTCAGTAGTACAGACCCACCAACAGCTCCTCAGAACCCTATACAGAGTCACTGTAAGTCAGAACTGAATCCACAGTACTAAACAACAACAGAGAGCACTGGTGGTGCCATAGGGTAAGCACTATACTAACCACTAGGTCAGCAGTCCAAGCCCACAAGCCACTACACGGAAAAAAGATGAGGCTTTCTGCTTCTGAAGACTCAAAAACACTATACAGGGTTGTTATGAGTTGGAACTAAACAGTACTTAACAACAACAACTCTGTAGTAAGTACCTAGTCCAAAGGCAGAAATTTGTACAACAAAATCTGTTCCCTTCCCTCTTTGCACAGAAAATCTCTTGCCCATCAGCCCTACTCTAAGAAACCATCCTGTACCTTTGGGTTCCTCTGGTATTACATGCAGTACCACCTCTCTTTTGAATACCAGGCTCTTCCCTAGGAAGCGAATTGCACAGGTATAGGTTCCTTGGTCAGCCTCGTTCACATCTTGAATCAGGAGAGAACCATCACTGTGTGAGATGTCCCCCACCAAGCATGCACGATTCTGGAAGCGCCCAACAGGCACACTGAGGTTGGCATAGTAGTACAGCACATATTCATCCTGGAAGGCAAACACAGCATTGGGGGAAATCAAAAGTCAAAAAAATCCCTAGCCTAGCCATCATCATCATTCTGATAAAAAAATTTTTTAAAGTACTTGGAGTCTTGGTGTGGTGCTGTGGGTTAATATGCTGGACTGCAAAATTGGTTTGGACCACAAGGTGTGGTTCAAGCTCACCAGCCACTTCTAGGAAATCCTATACAGGGTTGCTATGAGTTGGAACCAGTTTTGACAGCACTTAACAACAACAACAACCCAGTTAAATAATGTTTCAGCAATATACTGAGTCTTACAAGGCTCTGTGTTCTTTTTGTGGTGGTGGGGAGACAAGAAATCCAATGTATTGGTGAGCATAAGTCAGGTGAGATGGTGCTAATAAGGATCTTATGTGTGCAGGGCCCATCACTTGTCCAAGGGACCACCATGGGGGATGTATTTGACTCCACAGCCATCTGTGATGAGCCACTTCTTAGCCACCATGACTTCAAACTCAACAGCATTAAACTTGGTAATGTCTCATTCCTTAGAGATGTGACTCTTCTGGTGCCCAAGGAACTTGAACTTGGGCCTCAATCACATGTTCCTTGTTTTGAAGCTTGGTATGGATGGACAGGAGTCCTGGTGGCACTGTAGGATAAGCACTAGACCACAAGGTCAGTTTGAACTTCAAGGTTGGAGGTACAAACTCACCAGCTGGTCTTTGGAAACCCTGTACAGTGTTGCCATGAGTCAGAACTGACTCAATGGCACTTAACAACAATAACAACAATGTGGATGGCATGATGACTTGACTGATGTGGACCCTGGCCATAGTATCCTGAGGCTTTTCAAAGGTACTTTGCATAGCCATCAGGAGACTGTCAGTCCCAGCCAAGGTCAGCATCTACATGGAAGAGACAGAATCATACTTGAATGTTACTGCTCTCTTTGCCACAACTTTCACCATATACTTGTTGCCTTTTTCCAACCCATGTCAAAGATGCAGATCTTGGCATCAGGGATACCTCAGCAGAAGTGAGACTTTGGGTAGAACTTATTCTTACACTACCAGTTACACCAAGCAAGGTGGCAGCCCATGGCAACATCATGATCTCTGTAATGTGCTGAAGGAAAAGAGGTATGTGATTCATTTTATACACAGATAAAAGGAAAAAATATGGTCCACACATTTTTATCTTACAGTTTAAGGTAAAATGTAACAGTTGCAGGGGCTGATGAACTCAAGATCAGCAGGTCAGACAGCAGGCTGCTGGCTCATGTGCTGCAGAGACTAACGAATTCCAAGATTGACAGGCAATACAGGAGACCACTCACTCAAGTCCCTAGAACTGTAGGTCAGATTATAAGCACCAGGTGCAGGATCCAGAGCAACCAAAAAACTAGAGCTTATCCAAAATGTACATACATATTCAAATCCATCTGCACCCTTGAAGAGACTCCCTTCACATTGGATTAGGGCTATGACCAGATTAAGGGTGTTGAATCCCACCCTAATCCACTAACATCAGATCAGAATCAATGATATCAGACCATATCATGAGAGAAGATTACATCATTACATAATTGCCACATTACATCATTATATAACTGCCAAACATGAAAATCATACCCCAGCCAGATTTACACACAACCCTAATCCTCATAACTACCTCTACCTTCACGATCAGGAAGCTGAAGCACTGCAAGGTTGAGTAACTTGCTCAGCTGATAACAACCAAGTGGCTGAGCCTAAGAGGAGGCCCAGTTCACAGCCTTCAAAACCCAAAGTCTTACATGCACTTCCACACAACACCTGACAGATTTTCCTCTTCCCCACTATGATATGGTGAGTTTCCTCCTTTTTACCTTGGCATCCTTTTTTGATGAGAACATCCAATCCACCTTGGTCACATGTTCCTCTTCCATGTTCTGGAAAACACACTCCATCAGGACTGAATCGCCCACATGGACTGTTAGTTCAGGGGTGGAGTAATCTATAGAAGTCAAAGAAGACATACATCTTGATAAATATCCTCTACAACAAAAATGCATATCAATCACCCATGCACACTTCCCCTCCCTTAAATAAACCAATGCCACAAAGTTCTCAGAGACCTCTCATTCATACCAGTGACCCCATGGTCAAGGGAAATGCCATTCAGCTATCCACATGACTTAAGTAGAGGGTTTCTACAGTCTTCATCTTGTAATAAATGCTATCTAGTCCCCTGCTCCTATCTAGTCCCTTCTTTTAGTGAACCTCATCCCCTCACTCCCACCTCATACATACATCCTTTCTAAGAAAAGGAAGGAAACTCTAAAACACTGCCTTTTTGATCAGCAGTTTGGACATCCACATGTGACTAAATAGCAAAAAGAATGTATCTTGCTCTTCATTTCCCAGTAGCTCCCTATCTGAAAAGCCAGTTTACAGGTTTAGATTCCCAGCCACCCACCTTTTTTTCTTTTCCCATTCTTCTTTTAAAAAAATTGTCACTTGAATTGCTGGCTGATTCTGGCTTTAGAGCATGTCCTTGTAATTAGGTTAATACAGAGCATAGCTTTTCCTTGCATTTCCTTTGTGCTGGTCCTCTCCCTGCCTTGCCCACCTCCTGCTTTGTCATCAGCTCTGGATTTTTAACTTCTAGGCATTTCTTATAGCATCTTTGCACACATGGTCTGACCCTATTATCTGTACACTACTCTAATAAGCCCAAGAGGTCACTAAAAGAAAACCAGTAAATAAAAAATTTCTGTTTTCTCAAGATAAAATCCATACAAACAGACAATAAAATCAAGGAAGGCACAGATAGATTTGCCTGGTTCCATTCAAAGAAGAGTTAAGTAAACACATATGGGAATAAATAGAAAATGTGCCAGGGTTTTCATCCAAGCTGTTTCCCTGAGAGAAGAAAGTTCACTTCCTGCCCCAACAGCAGGCATACACAGTAGGGAACATGTAAAAGAAAAATGAATTATAAGCCCTTTGGAGAGAATTATTTTGAAAGAAATCAAAATTAGCTCCAAACATTTTACTGTAAGAAAGAACTGAACAACTGTATGTATGATTAAAGATATGTTTGTTGTTGTTGTTAAGTGACTTTGAGTTGGTTACAACTCAGTGACCCTGTATAGCGTTTCCAAGGAGTGGCTGGTGGGTTTAAACTGCCAGCCTTGTGGTTAAAAGTCCAGTGTTTATCCTACAGTAACATACCAGGACTCCGATTAATGATATAAGAAGATCCAGCAAGATGGCAGAGTAGGCAGATGCACTACGCAAACCCTCTACAACAAAGATAAGAGAGATCAAATGAAACAGACACCAATGAAAATCCTTTAACTCTGAACTTCAGAAGGGAGGTTAAAGTGCTTTCCGGGAGAAGAAGCTGAGCAAGGACAACAAGAGAGGGAAACTGGTGAACAATCAGTCAGATGTAGAGTAACCACCTTGTGAGTAGCTTTGCTAATAGGAGGTAACCTGGCAGAGCAGATTCACACACATGACAGGAAAGGAGATAGCAATCATGCCTATACAGCCAAATCACAACCAGACCCTCAGTAGGTCCATTCACTGGGCAAGGCAAGGATCAGTACCAGCTCCTATACTACCTGATCAATGATAGATAGCAGCCAACACTAGTCAAACACACGCTAAACTGATGTGCATGAATGGCGAACAAGAAGGGTGTATACACCTCCATTCTCTATTATACCCACAGAAGACAGCTATTGAGAGCCTAAGAACACACCAACATATAATAATTAATTAAATACAAATACGACAACTCCACAATGCCCCAGACACAACAGACATTTTTAGCTCACACAAAGAAACAAGAGAGAATGACTTAAACAAATTGCCTCATTGCAGATCCAAATAGGGTTTCTGAGGTAGATAATTTAATGGAACTAACTGAAAAAGAATTTAAAAAGAATGATATTTGGGTACCTTCAAAGGACTGACAGAAAGATCAAAGCAAATGAGGAAAACACAGAAAAAACTTCAGAAAATTTCAGGAAAACACTACAACACAAAATAAATGCAAATTTTGAAAAGCCTACAATTAAATCCAAAAGATTAATACTAAGATTTCAGAAATGGACAATACATTGAAAGGGCAAAGGAGTATATTCAAATCAATGGAAGCCCAAATTAGTGATCTTGAAGATAAAGCTCTCAACACTATTATGCAAGAATGAAAAAAGCCCAAGAGTTATGTGGGATACCATGAAGAGGAACAATTTATGGGTGATCAGAATTCCAGAGCAGGAAGAGACTATAAAAAGCACAGAGAAAATTGTCAAAGAGTTGTTGGAAGAAAATTTCCCTAACATCATAAAAGACAAGAAGATAAGCATTCAAGAAGTTAAACTAACCCCAAACAGGATAGATCAGATCCCCTTAGAAAATCACCAAGACATATCATAATAAAACTCTCCAGAACCAAAGATACGGGAAGAATCCTGAGAGCAACTCGGAAAAAATGAAAAGTTACCTATAAAGTTCTTAGTCAATAAGACTAAGTAAGTTCTGATTGCTCAGCACAAACCATACAGGCAAGAAGTCAATGGAATTGCATATACAAAATTCTAAAAGAAAAAATTTGCCAACCAAGAATCATATACCCAGATAGGTTTTCCCTCAAATACTATAGCAAAATGAGTACATTTGCTGATAACCAGAAATTAAAGGAATTTTTATTGACCAGACCAACATTACAAAAGATGCTAAAGGGTATTCTTTGGACTGAGAAATAACAATAGCAGATGACAACCTGAGATTACCATACATGACAACACCACCCAGAACTCAATCCAGATATAGAAATATTTAAAGTAAAACAAACCTACAAGACTGAAAATATGGAACCAGAGATGTCAATTTATAATGAAGTCCAACTACAAAGCAAAAAGAAGGAATAATGTAAATACAGAACTTCCAAAAGCCGAAAACAAAAATTCAAAAAAAAAAAAAATGGGTTTTGGTGCCGGTAATTTTTTTTTAAATCATTTTTATAATTATTTATTTTTATTGATTAGGGCTCTTCTACAACTGTGGGAGAGACAATATATCTGAGATATATTCTATTTCCTTCCTTCTCCAATATGAAACAGATGAAAGACAAAAAGTAATCCTTTAATTGTCTTCATGTTCTCACTTCTAATTCACTTCCCAACTTACTGTAATTTGACTTTCTTGTTCACTACATAGGAAAACTTCTAAATACACAATTCATCAACAATTCTTAAATGTTATGTCATGTGACTACTGACATTTGAGAGTGTTGCTGTAAAATAGCTGAAAACTGCCTGCTTAAAAGAAGCACTAAATTCCTCTATCATATAACACCCTCTTGCATTTCCACCTTTTACCTTTCAGCCACCTGGGACTACATCTAGATATAGAAGATGTTCTTTAAGGTCTAGGACTAAGAGGTTTTAAAAAGGTACACAGACTCTCACAAAACATATCTGCTGTTTCTAGGTGCCATCAAGTTGGCAACAACCCACAGATATCCCATGCACAGTAGAACAAACACTGCTTGGTCCCATACCAACCTCACAACTGTTGCTATGCCCATTGCCACTGCCAATCCATCCCATTGGGGGTGTCCATCCTTTTCACCGACCCTCCGGTATACCAAGCATCATGTCCCTCTTCAGGATCTGGTCCTTCCCAACAACATGTTTGACATGAGAGATAAAGTCTGATCATCCTGACCTCAAAGGAACATTCTGGTCACACCTCTTTCAACAAATATTTGTTTGTTCTTTATGCTGTCCATAGTTCCCCCAGTATTCTCCTCGAATACTATAACTCAAATGCATCAATTCTTCTACGGTCTTCCCCATTCGTAGTCCAACCTTTACCTACATATGAGGTCACTGAAAATACCATGGCTTGGGTCAGGAGCACCCCTGTCAGCAAACTAACATCTTTGCTCTTGAACACTTCAAAGAGGTCCTGTGCAGCAGATTTGCCCAATGCAATCAGTCCTTGGATTTCTTGACTGTTGCCTCTATGAGTGTTGACAGCTGAATCGAGCAAACTGAAGTCTTGGACAACTTCAATCCTTTCTTCATTTCTCTTGATGTTATTTATTGGTCCAGTGGTAAGGACCTCTGTTTTCTTTACATTGAGGTGCAACCTACACTGAAGGTTGTGGTCTTTGATCTTCATCACTAAGCATTCTAAATCCTCTTCACTTTCAGCAAGCAAGGCTATATCCTGTGTATACCACAGTTTGCACATGAGTCTTCCTTCAACCCTGTTTTTCTTTATTTGCTCAGCATACAGATTGAAAAAAGGGTTGAAAGAACATAACCCTAGCTCACACCTTTCATAATTTTAAACCATTCAGTGTTCCTTTGTTCTGTTAGAAAAAGTGACTCTTGGTCTATGTATAAGTTCCTCATGAGCACAACTAAGTGTCCCAGAATAAAACAGATTGTTTTAAATGGGGGTAAGTATTAATAAATTATAGGGTAACCTCAAAGAAAATGAATATAACTTTATATCAAAATTTAAAAAGAGGAAAATCAGAAAGATTTAGTAAACAATAACACAACAGAAATAAGAATGAAAATAAAACCCACAAACAAAACGCACTCAGTGCATTAAATTATGTGGAATAAAGAAACCAGCAACACCACAAGAATATACATAGCAAAATGACAGCAATCAATTCATACCTATTGTTAATTACCCTGGATATATATGGATTAAATGCACCAGTCAAGAGATAGAGAGATAAAACTCTCTCTATTTGCAGAAGATATGATCCTATACATAGAAAACCCCAAAGACTCAGTAAAAGAGCTACTAGACCTCATTGGAAGATTCAGCAAAGTAACAGGATATAAGATCAACATACAAAAATCAGTTGGATTCCTCTATACCAATAACAACAGCACTAAAAAGGACATTAGGAAA